ACATCAGGCGGTCTATCCCTTCATCGCTTTCATCCTTCAATGTTTGGAAAGATGTGACATAATGCTTTTCCGCTTCACCCCTAGTAGTGGTGAGAAAGGGACGAATGACTCCTTGCAATAAGAAACAAAATCAATTAGATTTAAGCGAGAAAATTAAAGCAAGTGCATATTCAAAAGCTTAATCCTTTAATCTTACCCGAAGGTGCTTCAATTTCAATGTCTATTTGGTCGTAATCCCAATGGGTACACTTCTCGACGTGCCACCGCAACATCCTAGGAAATTGTTGTCGCACATTTGAAGTCTTCGTCCTCCCTCCCACCTTAGCGAAGACAGGGACGACCTCATACATCCAAGCCTACATTGTAAAAAAATAGTCCATATCATAATTCAAACACATATATTACAAAAAATATAACAAAAAGCTATTAATATTTACCTGCATTGCCCATGGGAAGCCAAACAAATTGTACGTGCTCAGTATATTATTCCTGGCCCATTAGGAGTGCTTTAACGCCATGTCTTTTACTTGCAGGGGCTCCATGGTTCGCTTATGGTTCGCTTAAATGATACCCGTCCCCACGGATAAGCATTAAAGAAGTCTAAGTTGCTTGCAAACATCACCCAATCAATATCAACGACTTTTGTTGAGTCACCAGCCATTAGGATCGAATGTAAGAACAATATCAAGCACGGTTTGAACTTCTCTGAATCGGTTAACCAAACTGCTTCTATCCTCTCCTCTAAATTGCGTCCCGTAATAGATGCTTGCCCCTGCAAAACCTTGTTAGCCAACCTTATGGCTCCCCTACTCTCCTTTGTTCTTTTTTCCTCAACCGCATCTGGCAATTCCCCATATCTTAAGCCTGTCACCAAGGCATATTCCATCATCCCAAAACGTAGTGGCTTTCCATCCACCACGAACCACATTTCTTGCTTTTTACTGAGTGCAGCAACATATAATGCACTCCCTGCCCCCATAACGCCTTTTTCCAATTTGTTCTAATATCCAAAAAATGACCGAAACAAGTCTCTTTGAATCGGTCTTCACCATTCCTCACTTTTTTTAAAATCCCCTTTATTCTGTAAAAAACTTCCCAACTCGACCTGACAGTCACCCTTATAGGCAAGTACGGTACCTCATCGCTTACAATCTCCAACCCGTAGTCTTTATAGTTTATGCTCCGCAAAATCTGCACAATCAATATAAAAAAAAAAAAAAAAAAAAAAAACCCAAAACAACTAATAGGCTGCCAACATAATTTGTAAACAAAGAAAAAGTATCATACAATCAATTTAGAAATTACCTCTGTAAAGAGAGATTGTTACATAATTCAGGAGAAAAGTAGGAAAAATCTGTTTTGACCATGATCGCTTAAGCAATATATGAGTGACCAAGAGTAAAAATGATATAAATGATCGCTTAAGCGATCTTAGATCTGGGCAGATGATTCTGCCTCATACAAGATCTCTTAAGCGATCTGAAATTGCTTAAGCGACCAAGAGTAAAAGCGATGAATCGCTTAAGCGATACAAAAGATCTGGGCATATGTTGATTTTGCCTCGGAGGACAAGATCGCTTAAGCGACCAAGAGTAAAAACGATGAATCGCTTAAGCGATACAAAAGATCGCTTAGGCGATCTTAGATTTGGGAAGATGTTGATTCTACCTCGAACATGATCGCTTAAGCGATCCTAAATCGCTTAAGCGACAGTACGAAGCAAAGGGATGTTATTACGACTTGCATACATTTCTTCCTACCGATATATGAATTTACTGAATTCAAAAACTTAATTGCACTCTCTTATTTCATCACAGGATAAAAATGACCCCTGATTAATCCATCTATCAATAGTTCAATACACAACTTTCTCTTATTTAATCAACAATTACTTGAAAAATTTCAGGCAACTGTTTCACCAACCAAATACAATTTCTTGTTTCCATTTTTGGCAACAGAAAAGTAAAACCTCACCACAAACACAAGATCTAACATTATCAGTTAATAATAAGCAAGTAAAAGGTTCTTCTAACCATATATTCAAGATTTAAGTGAACAAACAAAACCTACCAAATTCTTATATTACTTCCTTCAAGGAATGATTAAATTAGATCATGTCTCTTGAAAGCAAATGACTGGCCATCAAACTAACATCACATACACACAAATTCAAAACAATGATCTGAACCACATAGAAGCACTGATACAATCAGGGGTCATTTTACTCCTGCGATGAAATGGAGATGAAGCACTGATACAATCAGGGGTCATTTTACTCCTGCGATGAAATAGAGATGAAGCACTGATACAATCAGGGGTCTTCATCTCCAGGTTAATCAGAGCCGCATAGAAGTACTGATACAATAAAAAGCTTTTAATCATTCAAATTCCACCAGTGGTTTTTCATCCACAAGCAGTACACGAGAAGTACACCATCACATATCTAAATCAGTAGAGCATCAGTGACATGAAAGATGTTGACACTACAGCCATGCACCAAACAAAGGCTAAGCATAGAATTGGTATGGCGAACTAAAATACAATACAGTACCAGAACTCCCAAAACAAATACGTACACCTTCTTCGTCGGCCTCTTCCTCGCCTGAATTCTTGTCGGTCTTTTCTCCTCGCCTGAATTCTCGCCGGACTCATCCTCCTCGCCTGAATTCTCGTCGAACTCATCCTCCTCGCCTGAATTCTCGCCGGCCTCCTCCTCTTTACAACCATTTTGCGATTCTTCTCTCTGTTATTGTGCCGCTGTCGTCTCCTCTACCTGTGGACCACCTTCACTGATTGGATGATCCACCGGAGCAGCTATTGAATTGCTTGCACCGCTGAACTCTAGGATTCGAAGTGGCGTTGGGTTTTCCTCATCATTGTGAATTTCAGCCATGGTTTTAAGAAAGGAAGCTTTAGGATTGAATTTGGTATGAAAATTTGCAGTTTCGATTGTGAATGTGGACTGTATCGCCGGAAATTGCAAAGATTCCGTTTAGGGTTTAAGAAATCGATTTTTGCCTAATCAGTTTCGATTAAGCGATTTGAATGGGTGGGGCTCATTTTTAAATTTCATATTTTAAAAAACTTTCATTAATTATTTTTGCCCACATATGTTTGAATCTTTTCATTTTAACCCATTTTACATGTTTAATGAATCCTAACTGTGCCACGTCAGCTTTTCTAAATTAAAAAATAAATCAAAAAAATTAAAAAGATTTTCAAGGCCATTTTGTTAAATGGAAACTTGGGATGTCCGGGAGTTAAATTTTCTTCATTTTATGTATATTCAACTCATCAAACTAAAATGATAAGTAGAAATAATTTATAATTTAACATTCTTTTGTATGATGCAGACTAGGGGTGAAAATCGAGTCGATCCGTTCACGAGCTACTCAAATTCGATTTAATGTTGGCTCGAACTCAACTCGACATTAGTCAAGTCAAGTCAAGTTCGAGTAGTTAATCGAGTCGAGTTCGATCACAATAGAACTCGACTCAATGGTTGCATGCATTTCCAAGCTCAATGGTTAAGTTGATAGTTTTTAAAGTAATAACAGTCATAAGTAATTTAAAAGTTATAAAATTTGTAAATCCACCCTTGTTAGATGAGCTCGAAATCGAGTTTGAACTCAAGCTCGATTAAAACTCAAATAAAACTTTAAAAAACTCGATTATACGAACTTGAATTTGAACTCGGTTTCCAATTTCAAGTACAAAATTTGAGTTCGAACTTGATTTTCGATTTCAAGTATAGAATTTGAGTTCGAACTTGATTTCTTAGACTTGATCATGCTTGAACTCAAACTCAGTACTATAGTGATCGAGTCGAGTTTGATTTACCAAATATTCAACTTGACTTGACTCAATGTAACCCCTAATGCAAACTATAAACAACTCCTAGAAGAAATGAAATAGAAGATACGTGGTGTCGTGATTTACTTGATGAGTAATATATTAATAAAGACAGTCCTAAATTAGTTTTATAAAGACTTTATTTAAATACAATTAGATTTATCATTTTATTTTATTCAAACATGATCCTTATAAAAACAATTTTAAACATATCTTTTAAAAATTATTTTTTACCTATACGTTTAAAAATTATTTTTTACTTATATATATATATATTTCTTTACCAGTTGTAGTTTGTTAGAATTGTTATTTAATGTTATTAATTACGGAAAATCACGCCAGACGAGAGACAACAGAACACCAGACGGTCCCGCGGGGACACATAATTTTTTTGAAATAAATAAAAAAATAAAAAATTGGACACATAAGCAAAACCTACGTCAGCACTTGTTATCACGTGCACACCACAAACGAAAAACAATTCCTTTAAAATGCGCGCCACGTGTCGTTTCTCTAGAAGGTAGGATGTACGTGGACCAATAGTATTAACGAAACTGATCGGATCTCATCTCCCCTCTCTCGTCCACGAATTCTGATATCTACCACTTGCCTTGTTTTGATCTCCTAGCCACGTGTCGTCACTTACATGACTCTCTTTTTTACTTACCTTAAAATAATATTAAAATATTACGAAATTCATTAAAAAATTTTACAAAATTCAAGTGCTTTCTCCAGAGACCAAACTCTAGAACCTCCTCGAAGGATTTGATTTTTGTTGCTAATAGCTGCGTCGATTTACGTCACGCCTCTGTCGTCTTTGAGATCTCGATTTGATTCTTCTTCGAGAAACGCTTACTTTTGAATTTGAGGTGAGTCGTGCTTTGTTTTTTCTTACTTTGTTTTTGTAGATTCTGTTGTTGAAACTGAACTCTTTGGAGAAAGTCAAACTTGTTTTTGATAATTTTAGTAATTAGTTTTATTCTATTTTAGGGTGATTTATGTGGTGTTTGGTTGCTGAGAAAATTTTAGGAGAAATGAGAGGTAAATTGGTGTTTCAAATTGATTTTAAAATTAGATCTTTGCTTTGTTTGGTTTGATTTGGTGTTGTGGTAGCTTGGAAAAATCTGGAATATATTAGGTTGAAATTTTTTGNCCCTCATCCAGATGCTCTGCTGCATGTTGCCACTTCTGCTGCTAATAGAAGCTTAAGATTACGAGATGCTATTTTGAGCAGCTACCACTATAATGAGGTTAGGTATTAAAGATATCCTTTTTTCTATTCTTGTCATCAATATATGGAATGGGAGATGCTTTATTCATATTCTGAAATTGAAATGTTTGAATAACTCAGTTCTCTTGATACTATTATAAATTATACCCTGGGCAATTCTTGATTTTCTTTTTTCTTTAATGCATTTATTGGTCAGGTCAAATTTTCAGAGCTCACTCTTGATGCCTTCAGGATGCTTCAGTGCCTAGAATGGGAACCCAGTGGTTCATTTTTCCAGTCAAATAATATTAAAATTGGTCAGAATGGGGCCCCAGGGCCTAGTCGTGTAAACTACTCTCAGGATATTGCTGATCCTACTTTACCACCTAACCCACGAAAAGCCATCTTACATCGTCCATCTGTGACACATTTTATAGCAGTGAGTTGTGAGAGATTAATTTTTCCAACCTGTTGCCTGCTTTATTATATCTTTAATATTGACTTATTAGGTTACATAAATTCTAAGTCATGTATTTCTTCTTTATAAATTTCATTTGTTAAACTGATAGTGATCAGGTTAAGTTGGTTAGTTGATAGATGTAAATACCATGATTAGAAATAGGTCCAGGCCGTCATGAGGAGCAAGAGTTGTTTATTTACTAGTGGGTGTTCTATGCCATTGACTACCTAACAAATGGGAAACTCAGGATTCCTTGACAACTTCCCTTTAATGGACAATAATTCATTTTCCTCAAGATGAAAAGAGATTTGTTTAAGGTCCAAAGAAGCTGAGTTGAAGCAGCAAAACTGAAAAAACAAATAAAATTGTGCAAACTAATTATTCATATTTTTGGTTAGGGAGAGAAGGAATTGGCCTCTTTTTGAATTTTTGGACAGGTCTGGAGTTACACCGTATTTACCTCTCTCTTCATTATTCATCTTTCCTTTCCAATGATTTAGGAGAATTTTCAGTGGTTTGCCTGTATCATAGATAAGGCTCAGGAATTGTCAATGTTTCTGTCATATAGTATTGAAACATTTAGAGAGGTTTTGAGGTGTTGAGTTGAGCTGATAATGCTGTGTTATTGATAGTGCTCAAAATAGATATGTACTATATTTTTCTAGAAAGGAGATAAACTCAAGTAGTGAATTGGATGGTATGATCCTTGGTTTTCAATTGGGAGGTTGGAAATAAGATTGTGGGATCTGGCAGTAATATATAAGCCTAGCTTCCAATTAGGTGCACATGTCAAGTGGTCTATAGCTCATCAAAAATAAAAAAAATAAAAAAACTTTATTGTCTGTATTTTATCAGTTTATACTTTTGTGTTGTTATAAATTACCAATACTTGTGCTTTTTCTTGGCAGGTTTTGGCCACAATTTGTGAGGAGCTACCTCCAGATGGTGTTCTCTTAATATATTTATCTGCATCAGGTTAATCAAATTCTGCTATTCAAATCACATGATTGCGGAATTTTTATTTATCATAGGTGATGTGGTCATGTTTTTTACATTATTCATTTTGCTTTAGGAATAGTTGAAAACTGTATTTCTTGTCCATCAGGCGTCGAACCTTCTATGAACACTGGTGATAACAGTAACAGGAACTTTGAGTCTCATACCATTTCCTCAGATGCCTACTCCACTTCTCCATCAAGCTCGACAAATAATAGCACAAACCCCACCTTACAGCGAAGGAGAGGAGAATGTTTATGTTACCAAACTAGCTGTTTGCAGTTTGGTACTCGAGGAAATGGAGGTACTCTGCTCCATTCAGCTTACTATGTGATTGCCTGAACCATGTGTCTGAATTAGGTTAATAAGATTGGATACATGACCCCAATTCTGGATTTTTTTTCTTAATTTCTCTAATCATATTCTGCAAATATTAATTTTCTTGTTAACCTCACTTCTGCTAATGAAATTTGATAAAAATGCATGACTCATTCCTTGCTTCTTGCTGCACAAGGACTAGATACTAGTGATGGTTAACTAAATTCTAAATCCTTTTATGAACTGAAAACAAACTGTACCTTGTTTCCTATCAATATAAGAGAAGATAACTTGCGTGGCTAATTGCCAAAATGATTTTCATGTTAAAGAGCTTCTATGAATTCTTGATTAAATTTTTGTTTCTTTCATGGTTTTATTGATCTTTAATTCAAAATTACGACTCATTATCAGTTTGTATATTGTTTTATGCCAAAGTAATGCATAGAAGCTCTTTTATACCATGATTTTCGCTATTGGTATGACCAGAATTCCAGAATGCTTATTTTGACATCAAGTAGTCCTTTTTTTTCCAGGATTAAGCTGCATTTATCCTTCTGATATTATTCCCTTCACAAGAAGACCACTTTTCATAGTAATTGACAGTGATGGTAGTGAATCATTTAAGGCAAGTATGTGAACTCCTATTCTTTGTTATTGCATTTAAATTCTTACATGAGGTTTTCAATAACGTGCATAACTATGTTGAATGTTAAGTTCAGGTTTAATTATTGCAAAGGTTTATTGTAGATATTAAGGATTTGGAAGAGGAGATATGATGTAGATTATGTATGTGGAATTGAAAAAATCTTGGTACTTTTTGACTTATACGGTGATTTCTTTAAAGGCTTTAGGAAATATTGCAAGAGATATTTGTATCCTGTAAAAAGCAAAGCTTTGTGATTTGTCAAGCAAAATTTTGGTGGCCAGGAAATTATTAAGCCATTTGTTAAGCAAATCATTTTCCAACAAAATAATCCTATAACAATAAGTCGAAGATAGGTTTTACCGTACAAAACCAGTTTAAGCAGTAGGGGCATGCAAGGTTTGTTGAATTTGGAAATTGCTGTGCTGGGGACATTACCGGAATCAACAGTGATGATATTATATTGTTACTCTGGTTGACAATATTTTGAACTGGTGTGTCGCTACGCTAATGGTGGAGGTGACATTTCTCTCCCCGTGAATTAGCGGCAACAAAAAGGATGATAAATCTTTGGGTGGTTGTGTGGAAGCTTCTAGAGTGAGTTTTTGAGGAAAGTAATAGATCATGGAAATTGTGTCATGACGTTGCTATCTTGTGGGCATGTGTTGTATTTCATACATGTAACTCTTTTTTAGTAATATTCTAAGTTTCATACCAAAAAAACGCTTGGGTTGGGGTTCTTCAATAACTGCTGCCAATATAGGAGTATTTTTTATGTCCATCAAATCACAATTTTAAATTATTTCTGCTATTCACTGTGTAATTTACATACTTTTTGCTTGCAAAGATATGAGTAACATCTTTGAGATTAGGGAGGCTTCTACTCATTGAGATATTAATATATAGGTTGAAGATGCTTCTTCATTATATATAAGAGAGAGAGAGAGAGAGAGAGAGAGAGAGAGAGCAGTTAAAGAGGTTGTGTAATTAAATGCTGATTGATCTGTTAATGTCATGACCAGTTTTTGTTTCTTCATGCTGTCAATATTCTATCTAATGTTGCAGTCCTTGCATGAATAACTTTTAGTATGTGACTTCTAAGAAGTGATTATATGTTCTTCATTTTTAAACCATATAAACTGTTAATGGTCCATCTTGAATGATCTATACAGGTCTCAGAATGTCACATAAAAATATCTTAATGCTAATTACATGTCATCATGGCATTTAAATTTTGCAGGCTATAAGTGGAGCTGAGAAGGGAGAGCCAGCTGCAATGCTCCTATCGCCAAGTAGTTCAATCCTCATTGCTGGTACTGATTTCTCTCGCAGCCCAAGTGGTAGCCTATTTACCATTTTTCTCACAGCCCCATTGCAGGCCTTCTGTTTGTTGATTGGTGTTTCAGGTTCTGAAATTGAGATGGTGTGTAGGAATCAACCCTTCTTTCTCTTCATATTTATCAATTGATTTCGTTTGTTAATTAAAGAGGAAAATTTTCTTCAGGATAAATATAAGAAGGCGGAGACGCTTCTTTCTTCATCATTGAATGACTGGGGATCAACTTTGGCAACATCAGATGATCTTGATCACGTATGGGCACAGATTTTAAGTGATCCATTTTTAAGGAGACTTCTTTTGAGGTACTGTTTAATCTTCTCTCTTGTTCATTGTGCAGGATTGAAATTTTGCATCTGCACATGATAAAGGTTGTCTGATGAAAAACTATTGGTTAATGTTTATGTTTGTTTGCAAGAACATCTGTCGTAGCATGATTCTTTCCTGATACTGAGTTTCTCTTACTATTACAATTCCATGAACGAAATTATGGTATAAAAATCGTTTTCTTTCTGCAGATTCATATTTTGTTGGACAGTTTTGACACTGTATGCACCAACCTTTGAGAAGAAGAAATTTCAACCGGAGTGTATGCCTTGTCTTCCAGAGTCTGTGCTCCCAATGTCGAAGATATCTCAAACTGTAGTTCTACAGATGGCCAACATATTTGGTGCAACCAATAAATTTATTTTCTTAGAAGGAACTGTGCTTCCGGAGAGTAGTGAAACAGAACATTGACATGTAGAGTTTGTGAATTTTCATTTTGCATTTTCGCTGTTCTAACAATCCTGCTGGTTTAAGCACTTAGGGATGATCGATCTCTTTTTCTTCTGTTATCCTCTTCCCAATTGTGTTTGGAAATTTATGATCTCCTGTAACACAATAGCTTGGGATGCTTGGTAGCTGAAAATTGTTGATTCCTTTTGTGTATTTTTTTCAAAAGTAAATTCAGAAATTTAAATTGTAGTTTGAAATTGTGAGAATTTGTTTTTTTTGGTTTTCTTAAAACATTGTATGATAATGAAATTATATGAAGTCAAGTATTTTTAATTATTTAATTATATGTAATTATTTGAATGAATGAATTTTTTTTTTCTCTATTTTTATGCTTAAAAAATAAAATAGTCAAGCGAGTGGCTATTATTATGCCATTTTTTTTTTAAATATTAAAAACAGAGAAAAAAAAAAAAAAAGCCGAAACAAAACAAAAGAGGTCAAGGTAGGTACAACAGAAATATAATATGTTTCCTATAAAAAAAATTAAAAAATTAATGAAGATGTCGAAAATTGAAATTTTGAATGGTACGAATCCTTTATATTTTTAAGTCTAAACTCCACCGTAAAACCATATATGGTAAAGTAGTCCTAGAGGATTAGGGGAGGGACGGGACAGGGAGGTGAATAGGATAGTTTAAAAATATTTGCGGAAATAAAACTATTACTAACCCAAGCAAGTTATAGACACCCAACACTAATAAAGACATACAATAAATATGTATGATGCTAAACAAATGATAAGCAATGAATGAATGTGATTTAAACAACATGGGTAATCAATAATAAGCAATAAATGAGAGAGATGTATATATGAATGTGAGTAATAAATACGAGTATGATGATGATGATGCTGCAAGTATGAGATCAGTAATAAATGAGTTGAAAGAGAAGAAATGGTTAGAGATTATAGTGGTTCGGAGCTCTATCCACAAGCTTTCTACATCCACTTCTTCAAGGCAATCTCCTTAAAATTCCACTAGAATCGAATTTCGCCTTTACACTAGTTTTCACAGGATTTTGTATTTACAATAGTTTGACAGGATTTCGCCCACAAAGTGTTTGATAAAAAGTGTCATAAAGATTGCCTCTTAACTTAGGCTTGAATACAAAATAAGAACAATACTCTCAAAGGATAACAAATGGGTACAAGAGAGTGATTCTTTGATTTGGATTTTGAGCTCAAGGGATTATGTGAGAATGTTTGGATATGACTTGAATCTTTGATATTCTCTCTAGTTTTCTAAGCATTAAAGTGCTCTATTTAAGCTTGACTTCTCCCTTGGTTGCAAAGAGTTGTTGCTGCATTTAATGCATGTCTGAAAGCCTGCAGACACAGAGGAACGGTCGTTCCGTTATTGTGAACGGTCGTTCTTGACACCAACGGTTAATTCGTACAACTTTAAGGTTTCTGATATGGTTATTCCACCACGAGGAACAGTTTGACCATTGGTTCCTTAAAATCCATAAAAATTCTAGTAGTA